AATACATTCACTACAATATTTCCGCACCGATAAAACCTACGTTAGACTCTTCATATCTTTTTTGTATGAAGTGTTGTAGATTTTTTTATATCGTATCTATTAAAACTCATAATCTCTATCAAACACATATAAAAAATGGACGAGCTTCCGTGCTAAAAATTTACGCATTAAAATATTTCTTAGAAAAAGTTGGAAAACGGAAGGATTAGTTTTAAAAAACATTTAAGAGGAATTTGTATTTGTTTGAAAAATAAAAAAAATCAAAATGTCTAACAATCTTAACAACTTGATACAAGTGCTAAAATGCTTGAAATGTTACGTTCAATATAAAGAAAATTAATTCAAATACAAGTTCAACAAGGATAAATCTCTTTAGTAAATGTGGATTTCTGAGTATCAATTGTTTTCGTATTCTTTCTTATTAAATTTCCCTCCTTTATAGTTCCCTCTGATAGGCGACGCTCCATTTACTCTGGATATGAATCGATATCGGCGTTTGTAGAACTCACTCCCAGTTCACTTGCCATAAAAATAGTATTGCATCTCTTAAATAGGGACATAAAATTTTATTTGTCAATAAACATTTTTGTCTGCTTACTATGTAATGCACGCTTTCACGGCTCGTTAGATATTGAGACAGACAGGAATAAAAACTAAACCCATTATTCACCTTTTTTATTAAGATTTGTTAAAATTAAAAGCGTTAAATAACGTTTAATATTTTCATTAATCAAGACGAAGGAAGAACAAGAAGACGAAAAATTAAAAATGTAACTTTATTTTAGCTACAGTGAATACGCACCTTTACAGTGTTCCTTCATTAGGATATGCACCTATTGTTACGAGGAACAAATGTGGGAGAGCGTTGCACTCTTCTAAATAAAACGACAGCACTTACTGAGCCATCGGTATTGTATCCTTAGTCGGTTGCCGCTTTTCTATCACCACTAATATTTTAACGTATTGAAATTAAAAACGATGAAAGAAGGGCCCGATAAGAAGACCTTTCCTTGTGCATTATCGAGTGTTTTAGGTAAAATTATTTAAATGAGATAGAGTTTAAAAAAACGTATATTCCACTTATCTCACCATGTCAACAGCTGGCATTTCACAACCGAGCGTTTTCGCATAACTTCATGCCTCGCTCAGCCGCGTTATGGAACGGTCTGACCTCGGCGGTATGACCAAACAGTACGATTTAGGGACCTTCAATAAGCAAGCCTGTAATTTCCCCAAAGGCCGGCAACGCGTCTGTAGTTCCTCTTGTGTTGCGGATGTCTGGGCGTCGTTGACCACCTCTGTGTTCTTTGTTCTGTGTTTGCCCCCTTCTCTTATAAAAAAATAAATTTCACTCTCATTTCCCTCCGCCCCTAATTTCTTCTAAAATTTTGTCGTTATTCATCAAATATTACACGCTTGAATGTAACATGTATTTACGTAACAATGCCTTGTAAAACTATTTACCTGGTTTATCATTTATCTGATATCACGCAAAACTCAGTTGCCATGCCTTTTTATCCATTAATATTTGTCAAGCTTTAAAATGAGCAAATCTAACGATCATAAAAGTAAGAGAAAGCATACAGAGTGTATGCAAAGACGTTCATAAAACAATGATGTTTCTAAAACAAGGAATTTGATAGTAAAATAACAAGATTTCTTGTAGAAAGTAGACAGTAGTAACACATCTGTATCTCTACGCTGAAACACGTTTTTTTACGTGTTTTCTTTAACCTAATTTTCTCAACAAAACGAGAAGCGATTTGCATATTCATACATCGCGTTATCCTGTGAAATTGTATTCCTGCAGCAAGCAGGACGTGCGTGAAATTGTTTAAGCTCGTTTTGAAATAAGATTAACTTTAATGTTTGTATTTATACAGCGATTAAATATATAACTGCAACAAAAATTACGTTGTTTGATTGTGTATAAGGAATTCACATTTTCACTTTACCAATTTATATCTGGAATCACGATTTTAATTCCAACAATTGCAGATCATATTTGCATCAAATCGATAGCAACATAATTAATTTGAGTTGAAAAATGTACAACTTTTTAAAAGTCAGATATTTAAGAAAATATTCCTTAGAAGACACCTAAATCAACAACAATTGTCATGAAAAATATTAACTTAATGTCTATTGTTAACCTAATTAGGTTTAAATTTTGGCATTTTCTCTAGCCACATACTAAAACTTGGCAGATTGCCAATTAAGGCTACGGGGTTTACTTGCAAACTTCTTTGCTCATTTTAACACAAGTTTTGGCAGCTTCTCTCTTGTAACATGCGCAGCGCTAGACGATAACACAGAAACTACAAAATAAATTGTATATTTTGCATGAAAGGAAGTTATTCTTGCAGACAAGAATGAAAAACTTTTCATTTGTAACTAATTTATTAATATGAGATCTACTTCAAATAAAAACTCCATTAACATATCAAATTATAATTTTAATTTAAGGTAATATTTTATGAGATGGTTGATAAAGTTGAAAAACTAAAAAATCCTACTAAACGGGTGATAATATTCTAGAAAGAATTTTCATTACTCTTCGCAAGCTTGACGAATGTTATGAAACTAATTTAACTTTGATTCGTACATTTAATATAAAATTAGATAGAAGAAAATTCATTTGCCTACTTAAGTAAAACGTAGCAATGGTTTGTGGTTCTACAAATTCGTTAACTTACTGATTCAATATTTAAATCATTCCATTCAATGATATGTAAAATATCACTGAATTAAAAAAATACTTAAATATGTGTATTTTTGCGGCTATTCCGCTGTTAACTCCCGTGCAAAATAACAATGCGCCATCAAATTACATTGTTTCCTTGCATTGTTCGCTGAACTTAATTTTCATTCGTATATTTGTATTTGTTACATATACATTGCGTATTGTTTTCAGTGTTTTAATTGAAATAATTTGTAGCACAATTAAAGCCTTTGATATTTAAAAAATATTCAAACATTTTCATAGGTTGCCACATTTATTTGGATTTTCACTGCTTAGTACCATAAAAAATATCAAAAACATCAAATTAAACACCTCGAAATTATTTGGTATCTTGTAGTTTTCTTATTGTATAGGATAGTTTAATACTTGCTAAACACAAGTTTTCAAACTGCTACCTATTGATAACAGGACAACTTGACATCTTGTTTATTCCCTTATGAATAAAGTTGTGGGCATTATCCTCGGCTAAATAGGTTCGGTGACTTTTTGTTTAAACCTATCCAAATAGTATACTGTTAGAACGATTACGAATGTAATATGTAGTAAGTAAAATGCAATAGTTAAACTAGAAATGTATACTACAAGCTTTCGCCCGCGATTCCGTCCCCGTGGAATTAAAAAAATAAAAGTGAGTTGCCTATCTGTTCTTCCAAACTATCTTCTACATCTATATCAAATTTAGGCTACAAACTCTCACAAACATCCATCCATCCAAACTTTCGCATTTGTAATATTAGTATGATTTTCGTTGTTAATACAGCAAGATTTTCCTTAATATTCTCTGTACTTATTTTACTCAGATACTTGGATAAAAGTTTTCTATGTATTGTCACATAAAAGTAAATTTCATATAAGTATTGCTTTAACGCCGTTTTCCGTAATTGAAGCCATTTTCTCTTTAAAATCAATTTCGAATAAAACATTTTCCGGTTAGATGCTATAAATAAGAACCTGCGGTAACACATAAAAGTGATTTACAAAGGATGTTAAACGAAAGAAAAAACTACACGGGACGTTTCATAAAGTAGCGTAATTTTTTTTTTTAATAAATTGATTACGCTTTTTATAGATACTAATTGAAAGTCATTAACAATGTGTAGGTACTCGTAGTAAATCAAATAAAGTTTACGATATTCAAATATTTCAGATCTTTTACTAGTATAGTATACATTAATAATAAATAAATATCTTTATTGAAATACTAGCTAACAGTCGCGGGAAAAAAATAAGAAGCCTATGGGTTCTTCCAGACTATCCTGTACATCTATGCCGAATTTCATCGAGATCCGTGCAGCAGTTTAGGCTACTAACAACCATCCATCCATCTATCTATTTTATTTCTTGTTTATGGGTCTACGTCTGCGGATTGGGCCAGTCTCCATCCATCAATCCATCATACTTTCGCATTTATAATGTTAGTAAGATTAGGGAACTGTAATATGACATTCCATATGACTTAAAGTATGAATATAAGAAGTATCACTGTCAGATATAAAAGCCAAAAATCTTATAAAAATAAAATATAAGGGGATTGTGATAAATCTGCGAGCATTATCCTTTACATTCCAAATTTATTGGGAATCGACGTTGGCACTAACGCTTTCAGGTTGTTGATATTTATTGCTTCATTTGAATACTTTAGCAATAATGGAAATGAGGTACTTTCTTACATTTTTTTATCTTGGAAGAAACAGTAATCTTGTTAAATAGGTTATTGAAAGCAATTATCCAAAGATTGCTATCAATGCGAATGAAAATCTTACGAGAACTTGGAATGTACGAACATTCCACACAACGAAATAAAAAAGGTTCATTTTATCCGCCTTTAGATCACGTATAATAATAATAACAAAATCTGCCTACCTAAGGATAAATTATGGTAGGTAAACTTTTACGCAGCATGATGACATGGATGCCTTACAATAACTCTATGTAAGTTAATTTATATTATTTCTTACATATTTTTGTTCAAAATTATTTCACCACATTTTCACGTAGATAAAAGAGAAATGTATTAGTACGCCGAGTTAACAATACAACCTAATTTTGCTCGTATAACTAAACTAATTCATATTTGATCCGCCACGTAATATTTGCGTCGCGCTAGGAATTACGTTTTGTAATTACTTGTATGTGGTCAGTTTAATTTTGTAAGTATTTCGAATCTAATTAATATGTACATGACGATTTTACAGAACAAGTAAATATGCAAAATGCAATTTTAATAAACACTTTATTTTTAAATTATTCACTTACACATACGAAAAATCATTTATTATACATCGATCATAAGTCATCACTTTTATTATTCAACCATACATATTTATAGAATAAAGCAGACAGTGATCCACCGAGTAATGGTCCAACCCAATAGATCCAATGCGCGGCCCATACACCCGTCCAAACCGCTGGACCTAGGGATCTAGCTGGGTTCATACTGGCACCCGTCAGCGGGCCTCCAGCTATCGATAATCCAGCAACCGTAAATCCAAATTTCAAAGCGACCGACTCAAGTGATTTATTTTTTGGGTCCCATATAGCGCAATTAAGGAAGTTCAACGCCGCCGTCAGTACTACTTCGACTGCCAACGCTTGATACACTGTGAGTTCCGAAATATGTTGTGTTGTGCAAATTCCACCAGTTATCAAATTGACTGGAGACAAAGCCATCAATACTCTATACCCAATTATGGAACCCGCACATTGAGCTATCGCATAGGCTATACCCAGTCCTATTGATATTTTACCCCAGAGCACAGCCGCTAAGGTAACAGAAGGGTTCATATGTGCTCCTGAGATATGTGCAAATGCTTGGATATTGAATAGAACCACAAATCCAAAGCCAAGTGGCGCGTATAATGGTGGTTGGTACGCAAGTCCTTGAATCGGCACACATGATAAACATCCGAGTAAAACTAAAAGTAACGTTGATATAAATTCTGCTAAAACAACCCTCCAAGTTTCACAAAATTTGATGAACAGTTTATTGTCAGATAATTTCTGGCTGCACTTAACTGATACGCTTTCAAATACGATCACTAAATGGTTAGCCGATGTAACTGCCATCACAATACACCTTTGTCAACAAATTTAATTAGTCACCTTACACTGTATATTTTGTACACGAAAATGTTTACCGCTGCAATACTTAATTAGTCATTAAATTGTTTTTATTTTAACCTTGTGTGCTTCCAATATGATGCTTAACATCTCACTCACAGTAAAATCTGAGTTTTGTTACACTATTTTTACAACTACGCTAGCATTAATAAAGTGTAGCTATGGATTAACAATTTAAACTCTTAAATTATAACTTTATCATCATTTTTATAGTACCAATTTGTTTTATAACTTGTGGAATTTAGTAAAAAATACCACGGAATAGATTTAACGGCGTTTCAGCTTGAAGTACAAAGCTGACAATGACAGAAATTATAGCAGAGAGTACGCAAAGAGCAAAAATTATAGATTAAAAAACCATAAATTAATAAATAACATAATTTAGGACCAAATAGATTCAAAAAATGTACTCGTATTCTCGTAAAGGCAGCATGGTTTACACTTCACTTGAGACATTTTTTTCATAATCATCATTAACACTATGTTTTTTTTTTACTTCCGATGGGGTCCTAGTACCTGCTGCTATTGCTGAAGTAGCAACCTTAGTACCTAGGATACATATAAATAAACTACCTATTCAAAGTCAGTCAATATCCTATTCAAAAAGTACATAGTTTGACTTTCGTGCATCTATTAACTCTGGCAGCTAAGACCATTACTTCTTTGCAGTAGGCTAAGAATGGATTCCTAATTTGGGCGTTCTGCATGATTACCTCAATGCTATGACCTGTAATAGCAGTATCAATCCTGTACTCACAGTCGTAACGTTGTTTACTGAATCTGGGGCAGATTGTGAGTATACAACAAACTGTCTCCTCGCTTGTACCATCGCAGACGCAAAAAGGGTCAAGGCAATGCCAAATCTATGCAAAATGTGTTAGTACACGTCAGTACAAAGACACGAGGTGTACTAAACTTGATAACTAACTTATTACCTTTGAAAGAAAATACCGGTTAAAAATTTTGTTCACTATGTCCAGTCTATGTATTATTTAAATGTCTTTGTTTAGGACAATTATTTACTTTTCAACAAAACTTATATCACAAAGCCTCCGCATTCCGTTTTATCTTAGTTTTATAACTCAACAGATTAAATATTACATAAGCTTACAAAAGCAAATATAGTTATGCTGCAGACAAATTACAATTCTTCTTTTTATTTACATTTGTCAGATGAGCGTAATATGACAAGATTTCTAATATAATGACTAAAGTGTGTTATTTAAATTCAATTGTGTGTTCTCTTATCAAAAAATTGGAAAAATCGATTTTCACGAAGCAAATGCCAAAAAATCGTACACCTAAAAATTACTTTCCGAGTGGCAATTTCAATCGATATAGGCTGCGGGGAAACTGCATTTTCAAATTAGATTTTTCGCTTCACCTGTTCTATGTTTCCTTCCGCCGCAGGAAATCAAGTTAGAGGTTTTCACGGAACTGCAATTTAAATTTTGCCGTACACTTTGACTGCATTTTTTAAATACACGAAATTGAAATATCTATTCTCTATTTTTTCGATTTTTTTTTGTCTCAAAACATTGTTCATCTATTCCAAAAACGTCTATTCAACGAACGTAAATCTATGTTCAACTTGGAATTTTTTTCTAGTTTCCAAGTTTCACAACACAAATAAGTATCGACGGTAAAGTTGGCAAGAAGCTGTAATGAACATTTAAAGTTTTTCTGTACCAGTAACCTATAAAAATGTCCACTATGAATTCATAACTACGAAGCAAATAAAATTGTCTTAAGACAGTTTGGCATATTTTATTGATAAATTCATAAAAATAAGTCCGGTACTCTTCATCGAAATCATTTGAATAAATGTATGATATAGCCTTAAATTGCGGAAACACCAATGGATACGGTTGTTGTTTATTGATTTTCAATATTTTTATATTGATGCTCGTGGAAAGCAATGTGACATATTTGCCATTAAACTAAGCATGCACTAGAGAGCATACTTTTGTAAACAAGGGGATAATTTAGTATAAAGTGGTACTTACCTACTCGATGCCCGGCTCACCGCCTGTAGGCGCCTAAACACTGTCGGTGTCAATTGAGACAAATCTAGTTTTTCTTTCAAACGTGAAATTAAAATCCAAACCGATAAAAATGACACGGCCGTTGTGTCTTTCGCTATGTCGGACAAGCAACCACTTTTGTAACTGACCCGCTAGGTTACTTGCGCACGACTCGTTCGCCCGCACTCCTCTCCGTAGGCTCGTTTCCGAACGATCCGAAGATGAATTCGAATCTACCCTCAAGTGGGCAAGTTAAAATGCGGTTACCTATAATAATCACCAAATTTAAATTGTATGTTCGCTACCGAATGTGACGAACCCGTATGATCTGTATTGAACACATTGCAAATTATGAAAACAAAACTGTTTGTAAACTTGTTAATGATTAAACACATAATTTCCCCTGTTAGCGCGCGATTTTCTGGGAAATAATGTCGGCTAAATTACTAGTCGGCATCCGTTACCCTCGATATACATCCGGTGACAGGGGAGGGAACTGCTGTGATTAATGTTTAACTAACGCGGAGGTATGTCATTTCCTTTTAGCAGATGTTGTGGTACATTTAATTGTATAAAAATATATCAATAAATTAAAAATACTAATACGATTTTAGAGAATATATCATTTACTATTAAACTAATTGCCAGCATAGAGCATTTTATATCCGTTTGTACACAAATATAGCACTGTTTTAATCAATGTTTGTTGTTGGATTTATAAGACAAATGATACATTTCATACAATACAAATTAGTAAAAATTTAAGACAATTTAAAATTATAGGAACTTATTAATTTGACCATTCTTGTACGATCGACTTATTCCTTGGTATTCGATAGACAATGTTGTGTGCCAACAAACAAATTAGTTTGCGACAACAAATCAGTCAAGCGCAGGTTGTGTTTGCTCCGCCCACGCTTTCCTAACTTTACTTAACTTCAAAGTTCACTTACCTGTTCTAGTTATCTAAATAAATGAATAACTCATTTTTATTTATATATTAAAATGACGTTACTCTAACTTGTGTAAATATGTAAGTATATTTTACACTATCGGCTAGCGATGGTATCAGAAGTACCGAATTTCATCGAAATCATAATAATAAACATCCATCCATACACACAAACTTTTAAATTTATTCCATGAATGAAGAATTGTAATTTAAATTCGCGTTTTAAAATAATTTCATATTGGAAATTAAATAACAAAAACTGAAGATGTTTTCATCAAAATTATTATTAGAATTACTTTAAAGGTAAATTATTAACTTAATAACATCTTAAACACTAACTAGCTCACGGACTTTAATACAATCTGTCCGACTTCGAAAGTTTAAATTAATCGTGAGCTTAGCGGTGTCCAACTTTGATAAATGTTAACACAATTTTATACATTTTCTATTTGTTCATAATTTAAATTTAACATTTTGAAGAAGGGTATCAACTCTGTTATATTTACGTTAATTGATTACTTATATTTTGATTTAAGTTAATTGATAAACTTTCATGGTTCAATCCTAATATTTTTATAAATTACTAGCTTCCGCCCGCGACATTGTCCGCGTGGAGTTAAAAGAAACAAAAGTTAGTAGCCTATGTCTTCTTCCAGACTATCCTCTAGGCTTAGGTTTAGGCTACAGACTCTAACAAACATCCATCCATTCATCCATCCATCCATCTAAACTTTCGCATTTATAATATTAGTAAGATTATTTCCAGAATTCAACTCAAATATAGACTTGTAACTATAACCATAGCAATAGGATTTCAATGCCTAAGCATTATAATAAAAACATATCATCAATAACCCTTCCTATACTTCTTGTCAAAGTTACACCATAGTGACATGGTATATGAAGATACTGTATGCTGTGACAAGTGTGCATTTTGTGCATCATGTATGCATGTGCCTGCATGAATTATTCAGACAAACGCAGTGCACTGTGTACGACGAGCAGTGCTTCTAGTTGCAAAACCAATTTCGAATATACGCGTCGAAAATGCGAAGCTCTCAATCCCTAGTACTAGTCTAAATAATGCATTCGTAAGCCGATACCAGTAATAATGTGGCTTGAGATCGTGACTTCTGACATATTTGTAGTAACCAATACTCCAGTACGTTGTACACCAAGTTGGATGAGTTAATGCTACCACAGCTTATGGTTTACGAATCCAGTCAGTTTCCTTTGGTTTTCACGCTGAAGATTACTCAAAATATACGAGTAAACCGAAAGAAATTGTTAATGTAAACAGTGAGCTATTGTGTAAAGTACAACTAATCCTTAATAAGCTATGATTAATATGCAATATTCCATAGTAAATGCCATTAGCCGCATTAAATCTATTCCAAGCTGGATTATACATACGTTATTAGATAAATTTATTACCAACATTTTAATTTAATGAACATGTAATTACGTTTTAATAAAATTAATTGAAATTCGAAATGTAATTATACCTCCTAACATCAAACATAATTAAATTTTTCTCGATACAAACTTAAAAAAGTTTACATTTCATGGAATATAAATGCATCTTGTAGCAAAGTAATGATGCAAATGAGACCGGTTTATATGATACGAATCCGTTTTCCTGGAAACAAATAAAAAACAATTGTAACCCGGGAACCGTCTGTCTCTATGAAAAACTGGCGCTCGGCTTAATGAGAACTCTTTTAACAATCTTCTCAGCCGTAAGTTGATATTCTTTGTAACATTTTATAAAATAACGCTCATTGTTTGTAAGAATGTAAAACAATTTAATAACATTCTAGTGAGCACAAAGCATTTACTTACTTATTCTAGTGAGAATATAGGAATTAATGCTTTCTCCTTTCCGTTCTGAAAAAAAAGACTCATATGTACAAAAATCTTTTGAAATGTATTTAATTCGTTACAAGCTGTTGCTCGCGAATTCGTCCGCGTGAAATATATAAAATACATACTATGCTTCTCACTGATAACGGAACTTTTTAATGGCGAAAGAATTTCTGAAATCGGTCCAATAGTTTTTGATATATTACAATACAAACAAAAATCAAAATCTCTCCTCTTTATAATATTAGTGACATAATCTTGTTTATTTAAAACTTAATTGTTATAGACTAGCTTTCGCCCGCGACTCCGTCCGCGTGGAATTAAAAAAAAACAAAAGTAAGTAGCCTATGTGATCTTCCAGATTATGTTCTACATCTATGCCAAATTTCATCCAGAT